GCTTACACCCACACACATATCTATATTTATGTAGTGCATAAGAATTGTCATGCTAGGCATCATCTTTTTCCCTAACTCGTAATAAGCTACAGCCACTGAACCAAGTCGTGACAGTACCTCTAATTGCCTGTAATTTCTTACAAGTAAAATGCATGTCTAACCGATCCTTCTTTGGCAGTCGTATAGCTTTCGAAGAGGGACATATCCATCAACTATATTTTCTCTGTCATTTGGGCCATCTATGCAACTGCCAGATATTCTTGTGGGAACAAGTTCTTCAGGTTCTGTTCATGCCTTTTCTCTGGGGTTCTCCATTTATCAAAGGTGAGAACGACAACTGAACTTTCCCGTTTGGAGACAACACAAACTGCTAATAATACTACCAAACTGATTGTGCACATGCTTTATTAAGTCTTAATAGATGTGAATGGCATATGTTATAGCATGCTAAGTATTGGTTCCTTATAGCTTATGGGTTTTGAATACAAGTTACTTTTTTCCTATGATATTACACAGCCATAATCTTGTATATATATCCTAAAAAGTCTCTCTTTTTGTTATTTATATTTCCGGTCCTTTTATCTTTCATTTCCCACTAATTTGTTGTCTTTTCTTTCTCTAGCAGATTTCTTTCCTTTGTCCCTTGTCTAATTTATGTGATTTCACTTTTCTCATGTCTGAAGACAACTAAAGCTTGATGGGCCTTCAGTAACATTTGCTTATTATTTTTTTTTGTCTCAATGGTATTTATTTTCTGCTACATTGCACAATTGACATAAAAGAGAAAGGAAAAGCTGTATTACTATAATCATGTTCTGCCAAATCCTTTAATGCTTATTTGATTTGATGTATTATTCTTGCTGTTCAATCTTCATATTGAATTGAATAAAAAAGAGTGCAAAAAACTTATTAAAAAAAGGAGGAAAGAAACACTGGACGGAAAAGTTATTAAAAAAAGAGGAATATGTACTTGAAATTCAAAATTTTGTATCTAAAGATGCCTATCCTGCTTCATGGTATGGATTAATCTGTCATCAACTTTCAGCATCACATATCAACCAAATGTAATTCCTTGTAGATGTGAACTATGCATTAAATATCACATATCAATTTTCTTTTATTGGTAAGAACCTTGAAAAAGTAAGCTCCATAAATTTGTAGACGTACAAAATTCTTTCATGAAATACATGTCTAATTACTTTTCCAATATTAGAGAGTACTTGCCGATCCTTTTCATTCACATTTGCAAAGTTATATGATCGTATTTTCACTCTCTTCGCAGAAGCAAAAGATCAGGGAGTTTTCTTGGATCAATTATACCCAACTCTGTGACTGATGCATTAGATCCGGCACATCATGATGTACTTCATAATGCTGCACCGGCAGGAGTCAAAAGGTGGACCACTTGTAACTTACACACTGAATCCATATTATGTTTTATACTGTATCCATAGTATATTTTTACTGCAAGTCTGCAAACAGCACGGCACCAGCATTGTTCCTTAGATTTAAAATAGTCAATTGAAATTTTCTTTATTCCACTTGTAGGGAAAGTATTTTGCATTTCTAGTTTCCCAAATTGGCATAAAGCTACGTGCAGCCTAAATCTAAGAAACTAAAACATAACTATAAAATATGATAAAGGTGCTCCCATCAGACCTTGCCCGAAGGCCCCGAACTGAGTCTGGTGCAATACACCTTAGTCTCTGTCCAGCCTTGTCTTTTATTCATTATTTTGAATTCCGTAGACGATTAATTTGTTATATCAAATATTTCAACTCCAGAGTTGGATATAGAGGGTGTGATGCTCTATGTGAACCTTAATAGTTTGGTTAATGGTGATTCTTTGATTTTTGAGGGTAAATTTTAAAAAACATAGAGTTTGTGATGCACAACGTGAGCCTCAAAATTTTCGGGTATAAGGGACACCAAAATTTACATATAGAGATTTAAGAAGCAGCAATATGTTTGATTGATATAGAATTATCAACTGCCCAGCTAATCAAGAGAATTTTCTTTTTGTAAGAATCCGTATTACATTGTGAATATTGTGGTATTGCAATGGACTTATAAATTTCCAGCTAAGCTATGGAAATCGAATTCTTTTAGATTCCATTTATGTTTCCTTGCTCTTCAATTTCCCGTGGATTCAATTTAGATTGTAGACCGTACATCAGATTTGGACATTTGGTAACTCAGATATCTAGTATGATATTATCCCGCCTTCTCTAAGAAAGCCCTTAACCTTTGGCGAATTGTTTTCACTGTAGCAATAATTTACAAAGTCAGTTTAGTTTTACTTATTTCGTCAACTTTTTAACAGCTATGCAGTGATACGAAAGGTAGACAAGGTTGCTGATACATCAACTTCAGAAATTGTGGCTTGTAGGTTAGTTACTGGTACTTGTCTGTATGTAGTCTTATATATTTGAAGTCTTTTATTTGTGATTCCTTCGTCTCCCTCTCCACTCTATACTTTTCTACTACTTTGGGTACTGAATTAACCAGTTGAATAGAGTTCTTAGTAAATAAATGTACAACGTATTTCACGTACCCAATGTGGAGGATTGTATTGCAAAACATTATCATTGGGCCATGAATTACTACCAGGTTTCCACGAATGATTTAGAAATTTGAGGTGCCATTTCCCGGAGTTTCAAGTAAAAACTCTGCCAATATTCACTCATGGGGAACAAAATTGTTGGCACCTTCATCCGGTCGAGTTTTGAATACTAGTTCAGTTAGTTCTCTCGTGTAATCGTTTCTTTGTTTAGGTTTGAATGCCTTTCTATTGGATTTTAATTTTCAGGGCAACTATTTCCATCATAAGCTACAATGGGTACTTCCAGGAGTACAACTTAAGCGTCAACAGTCAGAATGAGTTCGTGTGGAGCTTGGAGCGCGAGTTCAAGCTACTTACTGTCACCACAGATGATTCCACCAGCTCATGATGAGGAAGTTAGTATGCTTCAAGGCCTAGTTGACTAGCCTTGAAGGATCATGTAATACAACTCGGTAACACAAAATAATTCCGACACGGAATTAGTAGGCTAGTATATGGCAAATCATAGTCGTGTTTGATTCTTGTTGACCCTAATAACGTGAGTACATGGCAACTTGTGTATATGCGAATAGCTCGAGCAAGTGGAACAGCTTTCCAATACAAGAAAATTATTTGGTTCACAAATTGTATGACCTAACATGTGGCGAATAATCAACGAAACATAAAATACATCTAGTAAGCTAAATGTAAAGTACAAAATGTCAGCAAAGATAAACGGAAGCAGAGCCATCAGAAATAACCAAAGTCCCTAAGACTGCCTTTGGTGGTCCTTCACAGTCTCAACCTCTACCAGTTCGTCCTACCTGAGGGTTTGGAAGGCCAGATCGAAGAATTGCTCAACCCTTGAACTTTCAATTGACTTGGTTAAGAGTATTAGGCCTCGTTTGGCACGCCGTATAAGACCACCAGATAGTGCTAATAATACGGAGCGGATATTTGGTGAGCTTCGTATTAAATAATCACCGGATTATTTAATCCGGCCTCACTTTTTTTATCCCCTTCACACCCGCTTGTTTATCTCGTCCCAAACCTCTGTATTATTTAGTCAGATGCATCTCTCTCACTCACACTGGCTCACTCCGTCCCTCTCTCACGCACTCTCCTTCAACTCTCTCACATCGCCTGCTATCTCTCGTCTACTTCCAGGTTCGTCTTCGTCGCCATCTTCTTTTTTTCTCTCTCTCTCTCTTCCTCCCTCCTTCTTTGCACACACGCCTCCCACCTCTTTGTTTGCCTTTGATTTCTGACAACAAATTCTTCCAAGGAAGATGACGATTCAAATTCTTCCAATCTGGGCTCCGACAATGAGAAGGATGATGAGGAAGGGAGCTAGGCTCCGACGAGGAGGGGTATATCAATTCGGATCTGGGCTCCAATGAGGAAGGGAGCTGGGCTTCGACGAGGAGGGGGACATGAATTCAAATATAGGTCCTGAGTTCTTAACCCTAGCCGCTACTCCTCTACAATCGGTCGCCGAGGGTGGGATTGATGCGCGGGGAAGATGGTGAAGAAGGAAGATGCAACTGAGAAGAGTCTTGGTTTTTTTTTCCTTTTTATTTTTTATTTTTTATTTTAATTTTAACACCAATTATTGTGAATTAAAAAAAAAATTATTATAGTCCGACGTATTATCCGATGCATAAATTAATCCGATACAATACCAAACGCCCAACTAATTTAGTCAGTACTATTCGACGACTATTTATCCTATCCGACTGAAATAGTCAGTACAATCCGAGCTGCCAAATGAAGCCTTAACGTTAAAATTTAAAGTACGTTGAGTCTGAGATCGAACCGACGTTGATTTTTGACTTGGGTTGGTCTTTCTTATGACATGGGTGGACGGAGGGAACGGTAATGTGGAACATTGGAGAGAGGAGGAAAAAAAGGGGTTGAACTTTATTAATCTCCTATAGAACGGGAGGGAAACGGTTTTCACACCCCTACTTTCATTCCCTAGCATACTCCTCTCTATTAGCATATGCCTATGCAGAAAGAAAACAAGTGTGAAAATTATTTTCTTTGTTTTACTTCTAAATGAACTTTTGAAGAGGCAAAAGCAAAACAAATCTCGCACTTAAATCTCTGTCAGTTTCGAAGCGAATCTATAAATGTTAAGCCAAAAAACGTGAGAAATGGGATTTGATGTTGCACCATCTTCAACTCTTTTCTGGATCCGGAATTTTTCGAGAAAAATTCTCATCCTTCTCCGCCTGTCCTTTCTTCCGTCTATATGTCTATTTCTCAATAGGCAATGAATGAACAACTTCTTATATAAGGATTTCTCTGGGAAACCATCCATGACATTCATAGACAAGTCCTTATTTTTTTTAACAAACGATATTATTCCTTATTCATAGACAAGTCCATATTATTCCTCAACAAATAAAAGATAATGTAATTAATTAATTATTTTAGTATAGCTTACTTTGTTGAATTCAGATAAGTCCTATATTAGCTGACTAAATCATCGTCATGCTCATGTAGATTCTAGTGCAAGAAAACAAGAAATTTAATTAGAAACAGCGGCAGCAGTAGGGGAAGGTGAGTCGGCTTGATGAACGACTACGACACACTTGCTCCATATTTGGAAACTCTTGTGCAATGCCTCGGAAGCTTTGCCTTTGAACGTCGGTTCTAGGAGGATTAGCTTAACCAACCCCCGGTGACAATCGTATCCCACATGCAAAAGGTTTGCGCAACAATCCTCAGTCAGTTCTTCGTTACTGTAGAACATACCCTCAAAGATCTGTTCAGCGCACAGAGGGCTTATTTCGTCTGCGCATTTCCTCAAATGCCTGTAGTATCCCTGCGAGGGCTCCAGCGGCAGTACATCTGGGAAATTGCTGCTGCTGCTGCTGATATCTTCTGTGGTGCTAGGGCTAGGGCTAGGGTTAGGGCTAGGGCTTATTGATGATGGTTCATCACGATCAGCATAATTTCCATAAATGTCTCCAGATGCAGATGAAAGTCTCGCCGAAGACATGACGATGATTGCTGCTAACACCAACGCCGGCATCACAAACGCGTTTCCAAAGCTTGCCATGCTGTTGGTCGAGGTGGTCAGATATTCCGATTCTGATTCAATGTATTTTCTTCTTGGGAATACTGGACCAATATATATATAATGTTTGAATCGGTTTTTGTTTCTTTATTGATTAATTGACAAATTAATGATAATAGTTTTCTTATTCTGCCTTAATTATTCTTGGTACGGTTATGGTTGTAGGGATTTTGAGTTATATGTGTTTGGGTTAATATTTGAGTATTGGGCTTAAATAAAAGAAAGTCTAAGGACACCAAATTAAAGGAAGACTTGCCCGAAGCCCATTGAGTCCAGAGGCAAATTGAAGCTTTTTCAGCCAAGATACAAGTCACATGGCTATAATTAAAAAGACAAGTGATGAAGACTAACCTACTACCAGCCAAAGAACACTTTCCAGTGGCATTAAAAGTAAAAAGTTGATGACTCACTACCTTCCAAGTGCTTTCAGTCAAGAGCAAAAACTATAGCAGTCGAGCTAAACTGCCTACAAAAGGAAGAAGAGACAACAGGAACAAGGACACTCAACCAATCAAACAAACAAACATACAAATTCTGCTCTCAAGCCAGATTTGCATCTAAAAGCTAAAATCAACCCAAATTCAATTCTTTCTAGTGATAGTTCTCTGGAAAGCTATCTTTTGTCTAGTTTAAAAGCTTTGCTATCTCCTTTAGAGGTGTAGTATCGATTCCCTCGTGTAAACTTGTTTACCATCCATCCTTTTTTAGCATATAACCCTTGTAAATTCAAAGAGAAGTGACTGCAAGAAGTTCAACATTGCCAGACAAGGTGAAATCTTGCCCGAGGCTCTTTGTTTGTTTCTAAAGTAGTAGATTTATTACTTAATACATTCTTCAGCATGTATTCAAGTTACATGTTTTTCTACTTTAAGAGCTCCACTTGCATTTGGATGTAGTTAGCTTGATGAATACGTTTTCATTAAATGTAATCTAGAACCAAACTAGTAATTTAAGGGGTTATGGACTCCTTCATTTGAACATACAAGACTATAAATTAAAAGTCCTTGTTTACAAGGCAAGAAAAAGAACTTAATGTAGACTTAACTCATCCATGATAGTCCTTTAATAACAAGAAGTTTGAGAAACTTGGGGCACAAGTAATTGACTTAAAACATACTTGTTCTACATCTGCTATACTAAGATAACAGTGGCACGCCTAGCACTTAGTTAGTTTTGATTGCAAGCCTTAAGGCCTACACCTAAGGCCCCACAACCTAAGGCCCCACAAAGGCACCTTGCAGAACTAACTTTGTTCTCTTCTTGTAGCACATCAACAAGTAAGAGCCCGACTACACATCTAAAGTGCCAATCCCTTAGGGAGCTGTGCTGAGGTCCGAGGAGCCTTCTCCAGAGAAATCTTTGCCCGAACAATATGACCATGGGAGTTTTAACGAAACACTCCCAGTACTGTTTACTTTTAACGAAAAAAACCATATTTTTACCTTTCCTGTTACTATTCATTTACACCTTTATTTGTCTTTTTTCATTAAAACTAAAGTTTTTGAGGACTTTTCGTTAGTTTTCTTTTTAATTTATACTTGTGTTGGATTTGGCATTAAATCAACATGCCTAAACCAAAAAAGATTAGGATACCTTGGACGCAAGATATTTGGATTTGTGTTTCCTACTTGGTTTGGGATTTGGTTTTAGTATAGGATTTGGTTTCCTATATTCTAGGGACTTTGTGTAAACCTATGACATCTATTAGTATAAATAGATGGATGTGGGATAGAGTTTTGTGCGTGAAACTTTTTGAGAAGCATAAGTTTGTATACTTGAGAACACTTTGTGTTTGTGAGTTCTTTGGTATTTGTTGGTAATCAATAAAGCTTTCGTTGTTAGAGAGGTACACTGTACTCCTATATTGGAGGAACTCTAAAATTGTTGTGTTTTGTTTATTGCTTGATTGGTTTTTGGTTTAGTTTATAACAAGTGGTATCAGAGCTTAGGTTCTTACGTGAGTTGTGACCATCAAGCAATGATGAAGACTGGTGAGTCTACTAGTGTTGATGATGTTGAAGAAAAGTTTGGCACTAGTGGAACCAAGACGACGGTTCAGAGCGCCAGGTTTGAAATTGAGAAATTTGATGGAACGAACAACTTTGCTATGTGGCAGTGTGAGGTTCGAGATGTCTTGATACAAAAAGGTTTGGTTGTTGTGTTAGGAGGCATGTCATTTTCGATGGAAAAAGTAGAATGGGAAAGATTAAATACTCATGCATGTTCTACAATTCAATTATTCTTGGGAAATCAACAGAAGTATGGTGTGATGAACATAACTTCTGTGAAAGAATTGTGGGCTACATTGGAAACAAAATATATGAAGAAGAGTGCAGAGAATTGACTACATCTCAAGAGCAAGTTGTACAGGTTCCAGTACAAATAGGGTACGAAGATGATTGGCCATTTAGAAGAGTTTAACAAGCTTCTAGCTAAACTGGCAAATCTTGAAAAGATAATCAAAGATGAAGACAAGGCATTGATCCTGATGAACTCATTGCTTGAATCCTATGAGCCTTTCGTGACTACTTGGATTTATGGCAGAGAGACAATTAAGTATGATGAAATCTCAAGTGCTTTTATGAATCATGAGGTGAGACACCTTAACAGGCAAGAAAGGAATAACTCTAAAGCTTTGATGGTGAGAAGGAGATCAAAAGAAAAGAAAGGTTCATACAGGTAAAAATAGTACGCCTCGTACTAGAGGAGTCTCAAAGAATAGGAAGTTCTTGGACAAAGATGAGTGTGCTTTTTGTCTTGAAAAAGGACATTGGAAGAAAGACTACCCTAAAATCAAAGAAAAGACTAGAAAGAAGAAGGATGACTCAGAAGCAAATATGGTTGAAGTTGAGGATGAGGAATTTGTCTATGCCCTAACTGCATCGAGCACTGTGGATTATATGAAAGAGTGGGTGCTCGACACAGGTTGTACCCATCACATGACTTCTCAAAGGCATTGGTTTTCAAGCTTCAAAGTTACGAATGGAACTATATATATGGGAGATGATTCCCCATGTACAACTCAAGGAATTGGAAGCATCAGGATCAAGCATCATGATGGTGTGATTCAAGAATTGCATGGTGTAAGGTACGTCCCAAATCTGAAGAAAATTTTGATCTCACTAGGCACTCTCAAATCACAAGGCTACAAGTTTTATTCCGATAACAATGTGCTCAAAGTTGCTAAAGGAGCACTTGTCATACTAAAAAGGCCTCGGAATGGCTTACTTTATATGGAAAATGGAGTGGCTATGGTAACTAATGAAGTGCAAAGTGATAAAAGTGACTTATCTTCATTATGGCATATGAGGTTGGGACATGTAGGAGAAAAAGCATTGCAAGGATTGATCAAGTAGGGGTGTTTAAAAGGAGAAAAAACTAGAAAGATAGAGTTCTGTGAGCACCTGCGTTCTTGACAGACAAACAAAGGTGAAATTTGGCTTAGTTGTTAATCAAACGAAAGGGATTTTGGACTATGTTCACTTTGATGTTTTGGGGCCTGCAAAGAATGCTTCTTTAGGTGAAAAAAGATGGTTTGTATCTTTTATTGATGACTACTCTTGCAAATCATGGATATATATGATGAAACAAAAGGACGAGGTTCTTGAAATCTTCCTGGAATGGAAAAACATGATGGAGAACAAGACTGGAAAGAAGATTAAGATACCTTTCTTCAAAGTGTGTAAAAAGGAAGGGATTACTCATCATTTCAATGTTAGACATACTCCACAGCAGAATTGGATTGCAGAGAGACTAAATAGGACCTTGCTTGAGAAAGTTTGTTGCATGCTATCTCAAGCTAAGCTGCTAAAGAGATTTTGGGAAGAAGCTTTGAGCTATGCATGTCATGTGCTTAATCGACTACCATCAACAGCATTAGTGGGTAGAACACCCATTGAAGTGTGGTCTGGAGAACCAGCTTAGGACCACGATAAGCTACAAGTGTTTGGATGCAATGCCTACTTTCATGTGAAGGAAATCAAATTGGATCCACGAGCTAGGAAAGTTGTCTTTATGGGATTCAATAATGGTGTGAAAGGCTTTAGACTTTGGTGTCCCGAGTTGAACAAGATTATAGTAAGTAGAGATACGACATTTGATGAAAGTCACATGCAATTGAAGGAAGATATTCAGATGGTGGAGCTTGGGGAACAAGTAATTGTGAATTTACAGCCAAGTAAGGAAGCTGTGGAAGAAGAAAGACAAGGTGATTAACTTGAACATGAAGAGAGTGATCACAAAGAAGAACACCATCAGAAGAACTAAAGATACAAGATGATTACATAGCGAAAAGGAAGGGAACAAGAGACATATCCTTACTTGAAGGATATAAAGATTGCATGGCCTACATGGTATATGCATTGCTAGTAATTGAGGCTGAAAATTTTGAAGAAGCAATAAATAGTGAAGAAGAGAATAAATGGCATGATGCGATGGACGATGAGAATCTCTCCCTTCACAAGAATAAGACTTGGGAATTGGTGGAGCTTCCTAGAGGAAGGAAAGCAATTGGCTACAAATGGGTTTATGCAAAGAAGGATGGAGTGGATGACAAGAGCTTGGTAAGATTTAAAGCTAGGCTACTAGCTAAAGGATATGTTCATAAGGAGGGAATAGATTACAATGAAATTTTTTTCTCCTATGGTTAAGCACTCCTCCATTCGAATAATGCTTGCCCTAGTTGCACAATTCAACCTTGAATTGGTACAACTAGACTTGAAGACTGGATTCCTTCATGGTAATTTGGATGAAAAGATTTATATGAGACAACCCGAGGGGTATCAAGTGAAGGGCAAATAAAGATTCGTTTGTAAGCTCAGAAAATCTCTTGGTTTGAAGCAGTCGCCCAGGCAGTGGTATTTAAGATTTGACACATTTTTGAAGGGTCAAGACTATACAAGAAGTCATTATGATCACTGTGTTTATCACAAGAAGTTGAAAGATGGTTTGTTCGTGTACTTGTTAATCTATGTGGACAACATG